ATGAGCAGTATTTCTGAATATTTACAAAGCATTCATTGTATGGACAGGATGTTGTGGTTACAACTGTACCTAATTCTCCTAGCAGATGTGTTTCTTGGCTCGCAAGGTAAGTTCCAACCTGGCTATTTCTATGTAAAACACAAAATTTGCCACTTTGAGAAACAAGCAATATTTAAATTTGAGGCATTTTTAAAATTTTTGGCAAAGTTCCTGTCTATAAATCACAATGTATTGTTTTTCTTGGACAGAAATATATTAATAAATAATAAGGATTAATGAATTTGATGTATTTGTTCTATAAAATGATGTGAATCTTGCAAGTACTTCTGTTGAAAAGAAAAGTCTATTGTTTGTTTATTTTTCTTAAAGTGGTCAGTAGTTTTACTGTTTTAACATAAATCAATCTTAAATTTCTATAAAACTAGTTTTTAAATGAGGAACATCATAAAGGCATTTCCTATGTGCTTTTAATAATGCATATCATTAAGATGTTTTAATTTTTATACTGTTTATTGGTATTTTCAATGTTGCTTAGTATTGCTTTATTTTTTTATATCAATTGCATAAGTAGATATATCATTTTTCAAGGAAATTTGTAAATATGTTAGAATTGGATGAGTTAAAGATACTTTTAGGTTTACTTTTTGATAATACACTGATCACTTATGTTCACATCTGATGAGATAAGTAAATAGATACCATTATTTCACTTAAATTTGACAGTTTAGAAAAATCAACCCATTGGCATTTAGCAATTTTGCCATAAAAATGCCAGAAAATCAACCTCACAGTCCCTTCAGAGTGCTTTGTTCTGAAGTATAATAAAGCACTTTGAAGTGGAATCATTGCTAACAAAAGTTGAATGACTTTGTATTGAAATTAGAAATTCTATTTCCAGCTGTGAACTGAAATTACACAATTCACAAAAGGGAAAATACTGCTGTCTTATTTGGAGTAATTTAAACCATCATAAAGATGTCTTTGACTGATGGGAAAAGAAATTGAACAAAAAAACACTGTTGCAAATCAGCAGATATAGAAATAGAGTATCTTCATTGCATGAGTTAATAAGGCAAGTGAAGAAGAAAAAGCAACTTCATAAACTAGTCTAATATCCAGTAGGAGAAACAATGATGAATTGATATGGTGAACAAACACTTGGTGTTTGGGCACACTGTCCTCATTTCAATTTTTTTAATAGTGGATGATAATGGGCCTGGAGATTGCCTAACCAAGATTTTTGTTTATATCCTTTACAGGCCAGTATCAAACTTGACAGATTTGTAGTTTTAGAATGTGGAATAATTTTGAGCAGTGGTTATTCAAAACTTCACAGCATAGGGAAATATCATTTTAGAAAAATACATGACCATTCTGCCAAAGGGATTCTACCAATATTCACTGATACTTATTTGGACCAAAACAGCACTCTTTTCATAGTGAATGAAACTGCATGTTCGTAGTCAAGTCAGTCTTTTGATATGAGTTTTATCAAACATCTGGTCCATTTTGGATTATTAAATATAGAAAATGATCATATAACCAGTTACAAAAATACTTTGTGTTTGGAATGAAACATGGTCAGATCCCCCTCTCATAAGAGAGGATAGTAAATTAGATATACATTGTATGAAGGACTAAACTTTAAAATCTGTTTAAAATCTTATGATAAAACTTACATAATATTTGATTTTCTTTTGATCCTTAAATCAGAAGTTTTTTTTTAAATCTGTCATTTTATTTTATTATGTATCTCTATATCTGGGGCAGTAGCTGAATTCCCACAGGAGTTTACCTCTAATTTAGAAAGAAAAATATTCTGACATGAAGAATTCTAAAATGCAGTTTTTCATAAAATAAAGTGAGAAAAGTAGGATTTATAAGGGTTTGATTTTAGTACTATTCTGCTATTTAATCACATCACTTTCACTCAAAAATTAATATTTTTTCAGTAATATGCAAGTAAATACTTTTCATGGTATAGCCAAAATCGATGATTAACTTTGAATGACCATAAACTTCAGACTCTTGGCAATAAACATGCATGTTTATGTGTGATATATTCTGGATTAAATGTTAAATTCAGTATCTTACTGGAATGGAAAGTGAATCCATTAGTTTGTGGAGAAGTGCCAGATGTTCTTAACAATATTTATTGGCAACTACGGAAATAAACAAACAGAATCAAAGGTATAAGCAAATAATATGTTTATTTATTTGATTTTGATTATAGTGTGCCCTTTGTAATCCAGTTTGGCAAAAGTCCATTCAGCTCAGTAGTTGATAGCTTGCAATTTGGATTTTGGTAGCAGTTGAGAGTGTGTTTACTTTGGAAACTTGTTGGAGATGTTAATCTGCTGTTTTCTCAGCTCTCAGAAGAGCAGAAAAAAAGATGACTGCTTAACTTTTTAAAAAGGATACACTAGGCTGGTTTCTCTGGCAGTCCCTTTGCTTCCTCTGTTCATCAGCTGCCTGTTTATATCCCTTAAGAAAAGGTTCCAGATTACTGGTGCAAAGTTTGATTTCAGCTAACATCAAAAGTCTTTGTTTTTTTTTTTTAAATTGGCCAAAATTCTTTTATTTTCCAGCATTCCTTTCTTTTTCATTTTTTTTTATTATAGTGGAAGTTATGTGCGGAGCCTCTCTTATCTTGGTAGATTTCTAATCACTATGACTAAAATTGGGGCCATCAAACTTCTGCCATTTCACAGATGTGTTTAATCTTTTCTTCTTCCTCTTTTTATTTGAGGGTTGCCTTTTCATTAGTTGGTAGATAGAGAGAAGAGTAGTGAGAGAGAATGAGAGAGAGATAAAAAGAGATATGAATTTTAAAGGAAAGTAAATGCCTTATTTTAAATTTTATTTTGTTTTTGTTTATATATTTTATCTTCATATTTTATTTATTTATTTTTATATGTACTAACCACAAGAGTCACCCACCAAAAAGCAGGGCTAGTGAGTGGAAAGAAATATATAAAAATCAAAGAAGTCATTATTTTTCTTCCTCCTAATTTTTCTTAGTTTTCAACTGAATGGACTTTTGCCAGACTGAATTACAAAGGACACACTCTAATCAAATAAATAAACATATTATTTGTTTACACCTTTGATTCTGTTTTTGATTACTGGATGTGTTAAAGAATATAGATTGTCAAAAACAGCTTTATGGAGATGAATGTTTTATAACAGAAGTGTCACATAAGACTGAGCCACCTCCATTTGACACAAAGTATTCTTTTAAGTTCAGATATAATTTTATTTTGTCATCAGTTGTTTGTGCTTGCACTATTTCTGGCAGGTAGCTAACATTTATCTGCACTGCTAATGCAGGTCTGGAACTATATTTTGTTCCCCTTTTATATGCACACATTGGGAGGTCACCAGTGTGCAGAAGTGCCAGATGTTCTTAGCAATATTTATTGGAAACTTTGGAAATAAATGAACAGAATCAAAGGTGTAAACAAATAATATATGCTTATTGATTTGATTTGGAGTGAGTCCTTTGTAATTCAGGTTGACAAAAGTCTGTTTGGCTCGTTGATAGTTTACAAGTCAGATTTTGGTAGCAGTCAACTGTTTGTTTACTTTGAAAACTTGTTGCAGATGTTAATCTGTTGTTTTCTCAACCCTCAGAATGATGGAAAAAATATCTTAAGCAGATGACCGCTTAATTTCTTCATGTGATATGCTGGGCTGGTTTCTCTGGCAGTCGCTTCTCATTCTTTGCCTCTTGGCTGCCTGTTTATATCCCTTAAGAAAAGGCTCCAGACTACTGGTGCAAAGTTTGATTTTGACTAATATCAAAAGTCTCTTTGTTTTTGTTTTTTTAGAGTGGCCTAAATATTTTCCAGCATTACTTTCATTTTCTTTTTTTTTCTTTTAGTAGAAATTAGGCATAGAGCCTCTCTTCTTTTAGTAGATTTCTAGTTACAATGACTAGAAATTGGGACCATCAAACATCCACTGTTTCGCAGATGTATTAAGTCTTTTCTTCTTCCTCTTTTATATTTGAGGGTTGCATTAATAGAGAGAGAAGGGTAGAGGTAGATAAATAGATATGAGTTCTAAAGGAATGCAAATGCCTTATTTTAATAATTATTTAATTCATTGTTTTTGCTTATATATTTTATTTTTTCATTGCAAGTTTTCTCTGTACAATATGCTGTCTGTTCATATCCCAATGCTAGTGACATTGGTTTGAATTTATTGCTGGAGAAATTTTAACTTAAAAACCATTAGAAAAAAAATATTTCATCCATTGATAATATTTAAATACAATATTTATACATATATCCCTACAAGCAGTAGATTATTTTTTATGTATCTACTATCTTTATATTTCAAGGAATGAAGACATTATATTTTTACCTTGAGATTTTTAACTTGCAGGTTGTAACATTCAAGCATGGTTATCAACGTTATTAACATAAATTTAATTTTCATCTTGATGAAGAGATTTTGCTATGCATTTTAATTGCATGAAAGTTTATATGAACATAATGAAATATACAAAAATGTAGTTAGAAGAGAAATTAAAGCTATAAGAGTTATTAGTTAGAATAAGTTAACTAAGGCATTAAGTTAAAGATGATAACACAGTCACAAAGAATTATTGAATAAGTAAAAAAGAATATATATTTTCTATATCCCTCTCATGACAGGATGGTTAGAAATTAAGCTTCTTTCTTACTTCATGAGATCATTTCTTAACTAGCATTCTGGTATAGCTTCAGCATGATTTAAAAAATTGTAAACAATATTTGTGCCTAAGTAAATGTGATCTTTTTATTAAATTTTATATAGGAAATCTGACCTATTGGGATTTTTAAAATTTTTTATTGGTGTTTTTTGGCCAGCCAGATGAGGATTCCATTCTGTCATTTAAAAGAAAACAGTCTCATGTTGTTTTTAATTTCCAAATTACAAGAATGAATTATTAAGTATGTAAATTGATACAGTTATGAATTTTGATCTGGAATTTTCACTGTATGTTTGATTTGTGTGATTAATAGAGAAGCATTAAGTCAAATGCATTGATAAGGATTGAAATTGTGTCAAAAAATAAATTTTTTAGTCTGTAGTCTATGAACATACTGACACACTCCA